GTTATGTACGTACCGAGCTTAACAATGACTATCTTTTGGATATATTCTTTAACCTCTTGCGCCAGAATGACGTCGAGAATGTTTGACCCAAAATTGCAATATTAGTTTTTTTTTAAATATTGAGATACAACTCAGTTATATTGAAATATAACCCAGACAAATAATCAATTTGTTACTTCTTAACAATTTCACTCTCCAGTGTTATACCGATGAATTAAAAAAGAAGACGAATTATTGTATTGCACGGTTTGGTCACTCGTTATGGTCCGTGAACCAGTTACTAGCGCAAGAGGTCAATAGACGAGTATGTACATCATTAATACGATAATTTACAATATTCTCATTAATCATCGTAGTACATGAACATCAAAATGAAAAAATTATTATATTGAGTGATAAAATTGTCTCTTTTTTTTTTTATTTAAAGAACAAATTAAGTATTACTACTTTTATATACATGTATGTATTAAGATTGACGCACATGAAATGCCGTTGTTTGATATTGATAAATATTATTTAGGCAAATATTATTCTAACACAACCGTGGTAGTTAAACTTCACAATTCTACCGATCAGATTTACTTACGACTTGCTCGGCTTGACTGAAATAACCCTATCTTACCCTATTTAGCATTGCGATCTGGAAAGAGAATTCCATCGTGGTTACGCAGACTTTGATGTCGTTCGATCGTGCAAATATCTCGACGAGCAGGGTCGGCCGGACGTTACGAGATATTCTTATCTTTCCATTATCGCCCACGCCGGAGAAATAACGTTTCGCAGATCGCGACTAGAAATAATCGGAATCGATCTCTGTTCGAGAGACGTAACAAAGTGCCAACCGAAATGCAGCGCATCGCACAAGAGCCGGAGCGTATGTTTGAAAATTTCGCGAAGCTTTTAAACCGGCATGCGTTCGTATTATTGTTACTGTGATCCTGAACGATCCGCTACTTTTATATTTCTCTCCCGTCGTAAAATCGTTTGATTTATTACTTTCGTCTCGAGACGATTATTTGACCATTTCTTCGTTTCTTCTTTTTGAACTTTACGTTTCCCTGGCGCGGAGTGAAACAAATATTTTTCGCAAGAGTAGCGAAAAATTATTTTCGTTCGCTGCACTTGACGATGAAATTAACTTTGATTGATGCCACCGGTGATTAAACGATCGCACGGATTTACATTCCTCGCGAGTAGCCGTGTTCGTTGTTTTCAGAAAAATTTGAACGAAATATTTTCTCTCGAGTATTTTTCTGCCGGTAATGCCAATAAACACATCGAGGCGTCCAATAGTTTTACAAATCTGTTGTATCGATTGGCATTGTGGTTGTACCACGAGGGAGTAGGAAAAGGATAGTCGAACAAATCGAGTATTTCGTGCAAAGATACCTCGAAGAAACAACACAAGATGTTTTCGTTGCGATTCATTACGTTTATTTCGTAAAGTTTTCGTATTCGGACGACTCCATCCTACGTTAATAAGTTTGCGATTATTACTACTATCTCGTAATATCAATATGCTTTTGTATATATAGATCTGTCTATTTATACATATATAGCTTTATCTATACAATCTATATATCTATATATATATATATACTCTTTTTAATAATATACACGCAGAGATCTATCTACGACACGATTTCTCTTCCGTTCCAATCGTTTCATTATTCACATGATCCGTTTTACAATAAATATATATTATATTTCAACTCTCATCGAACGGCCAATCCCATTGCAAACCGAACCGCGCGCATCGGCCGCAAGGAATGACGTTACGCGAATAAATGCACAAAATGACGAGACACGCAACACAAACGTCTCTCCTCCCCATCCATCCACCTCCCCTTTACCGAAAACGATCGTATCACTTTTTACAAATAAATTTCTATCACCGTTGTCTCGTTACAATCAGTTAACTAGCAGAAGAGAAAAAAAAAAAAAAACGTTCATGGTGGAGCCGATATCACGAGATTATAAATGAAAACGACAATTTTTTGTAGTGCCACGAGATATTGTTATTCATTACGCACGTACGTCGTACGTACGTATCTGTAAGTTTATGATTTTCTGTATCTTAGCGTAACAATAATAACAATTGTGTAGCTGCTCGATTTCAAATTGAAACAAAATTTGCAATGAATTAATCCTGATTATAGAAAGTTAAGTAGTAACGTTACTCAAGCTGAAAAAAATGACTTACTTAATAAATTAGTATTTGAAATTTCTATGTGACGTATATATATGTGCATTGTGAAAAATAGCGAATGATGTATATTTTTTTTGTCTTCTTCGTACGTTATGTGCAACTTTGTATATCTTTTCACGTGTATTTTAAGGTGGAAATCCAAAGGTTAATCATGCACGATCCTAAACGACGTTTCTTATCCCTCCCCCACATATGCGTCACAAGTTGCTACGTCGATTTTCAAAGCAATGTAAACTTCAACACTTGATCAATTTTATAACCTCGTCATATCGCTTCCATCGACTGTAGATATCTGTTTTCGTTTTTGTCAGAAATGTTTCTTGCGACCATCGACGTGATTTTCTTCATCGTTTCGATCTTTAATTCGCAATCAATCGAGGAACTTTGCCATTCTGTGTTAAGTACATTAATATTCCGTCAATCCTTAACCATTACAAGTAGAAACATCGTTATGTCTTATTTCTCGTTTCCAATATAACGTTGGGGATGTAAAAGCGACATCGGCAAGAAGATCGGTAAATGTAGGTTTAAATATGTTACAACACATACTGAAATTGATTTAAAAAAAATAATAATAATAATAACATGGAGAACGATCATTAAATCAAATGCATCTCGTATCATCATAGCTATGCATAGTGAAATGTATCACTTTGAAAATTACGTTGAAACCATTTTTATACATGATAGAATGCGTTAATTATCACGCATTTCGTTTCTCAGTTTCTGTTATTTTATAGTTTAAATATTGGTTTTCGCGTATCTTGAAACACTGACCTCGTCCTTTGGTTGGAAGTGGATCAACTGCGGCAAGGACGCGTGTACATTCCCCGAAATATGTTTTTTTCTGTTTGATTAATTCGGTGCAGGTTTGCACAGTTGCAGTCGTATGTGGGATTTGGCGTATCTCCTCGTGCAAATATCGTTCGCCACGAGGAGAAGGAATATCAAATCGGGCAAAATTACCGTAGATCAGTGAGAGGAGACTCTGGAGGTCTCTTTGTTTGCTCAGGTGATGACGATCATCATTGATATTCACAGCTGTTTTCACGGCATATCTCGCATCATTTGCGCTTCCGATTCATTAATGAATGATACCGTATGCGATTAAACCGATCGAATGTACCTAGAATCGAAAGTTTCGACGCGCCCCGAAGCCCCAAATCTATAATAATACTGTACAGCGTTCTCTAATATTTTAAAAACATGTTGAAACACGTATTATTTCATACGTTACCTCGCCGGTTTCAGTTTTCAAACCGAGCAATACTGCGTGCAAACATTGGTTTTGCCGTTGAACGAAAGAGATGATAAAGGTTTCGTAATGAGACGCCTTTCAACTAAGGCGAATATTTCTCCGTGTCCACGATTTTTGACTATTGAATTCGCTTTCGTTATTGAACTGTCGAAAGCAGAAAATGAAAAAGAAAAGAGATACTGCAGAAACTTTGGGGAAACGAGTTAAAAGAGATTCTTGTATTAATCTTCAGATCCCTCGATAACTCGAGTTTTCGTATATTTCGATTATTTTACTCGAACCTCTTCGCGATTAAATTGACAATCTTGCATCCATTTTCCAATTGTTGCTTCGATATATGACATTTTGATATAAATATTTCACATAATTTCTTCGTAATTCTAGGCCCCCAGCTTTGATAATCAAACGAGAACTCGCTCATCAAGTACTTGATCATTCACGATAACCAGATTTTCTGCTTTTTCTATGATAGAAGCAAAAAAAAAAACAAAAAAAAAAAAACTCGAAAAACGAAGAAAAGAAATCACTACGGTCAGAGTGTGCATATGTGTACATGTTTACATACCTAATTTTTTTTTTCTTTATGTACATTCAGAAGAAGGACACGCGTCCTCTGATAATGTCTTAAAAATGTCTAGAACTCGAGTACTCCTTTTCTTTCGTTCGTTACATCTCTCGATCGATATAAGAATCGGGATAAGATTCGAATAATGTATAAAACATATCGAACTAGTTCCACTCAGCTATCGCTAATTCGAAGTAAAAATTAATGGACGTTGTTACGTTGAATTATTCGAACAATTCGCTGCAAGTATTCTCGACAAGGGTCGCTAACAGTCGAGGAGGCTTGTAAAGAAAAACGACCGGTGTCAGATTTTTTTCAGCTTTTTCATTAACGAAATTTGAAGGACAAGTAAACCAATTTGCATGAATATGCACGGTCTAATAACTATTGAATTTCTATTAATTCGGTTCTATCAGTCAGAAGTAAAACTCACAACGTCTGTGTGATAAAACGATTAGTTCTCTGTCGCGAGATTTATGATTTCTAATAGCAATCGAAGGATTTACAGCGATAACAATGTTTGAACTTTGTATAATTATACAAAAAATAAAATTATGTAATATTATAACTTTGTATAATTGTAATATAATATTATTTATATAATATTACATATATTATAAATTATATAATATATATAATATTATAACTTTGTTTAATTATACAAAAAATAAAATTATATAATATATATAATATTGTATATAATGTATATAATTATGCGTAGAAAGAATTTTGTAACGTTTTCAGACGATGTCAACGTAAAGAAATTGGAAACAAAATCACGCGTATGCTCACGCTGGCATTAAAATATGTTTTAATGCTAGAGAAACACGATAAAATCGAAATTGATTGAAAGGATGCAGCAAGCTTCGATTACGCTTATAAAAAAAAAAAAAAAAAAAAAAAATAGATTGATTCCATATTGAAAAGTAAGCAAAAAATTATTACTTATTTACAAATCTGTTGGATATTTCAAAAAGTAATTGGACCTAATTTCCATTGCATTAGGTCATACGGATCACTGAATTATTGTAAAAGTTCCTTCGGCATTTTGTGAAGACTGATTCTGTGAAAACGAATTGAACAGAAATGAGCGATACTCGATAATAAATACGAGAGTCGGTTTTTGTTACAAGCTCTTCGACTTTCTTCTATATCGTTAATATTCTTTGCTGCGCCTACAACGTGCTACGTTCGCGATATTGTTATGAAATACGCGAGCGATTAAATATCTACAAATAACGTACGTACGTATCGTTTCGCAATTCGCACGTTTCGTGTCTGCATATTTCATAGATTCAAGTTGCCGTTAATTTCGCGTCATTTTATCATGGATTTCTGGACTTATCTAATTCCACTCTTTGGCCAGCTCTTCCGTGCACGGGATCCACTCTTGCTTCACGTAAACCAAGCTCGGGTCGTAGTGTTCGGTGTGGTGTTCTTCAAGACCTCGGTGATGAGGCCTTGAATTTCGGTATTCTCAGTATTTATGCAGTGTGATGGGCAGATTTCCGCTGGTGTTGACGGTGTTGCAGTCTTGGTAGTATCGGTGATACAAGGGTGGAGACGGAGCCGCACTCGACGAGAGTGGAGTCGGCGGGCTGGATCTGCAAATTGTGGATATTTTGCGATCGATACATACTCCTTCATCTCCAAAGGGGAATTTTAGTTAGCCGTTAGCCTAACGAGCTTCAAGGAATTTGCATTCTCTTTACTTTCAGCAGCAACGACCTGGCTACACGGTGTCACGGTGCAATTCTATTTCAATATAACATCTATTTACATTATAAAGTTGTTGTTTTTTTTTTTTCAACTGTTGCACGATCTTTGAAGAAGTTCCTCTCGAAGAAAAATGAAAATGATTCACCAGGCGATTTTGATTTTGAAGTGCAATTTCAAGTTCCATTCGAAAGAAATACTAGCCAGTTAAGGGAAAATTGACGGTGAAACAAACAACGAGACGATTCACCGTTGGTTTTCTTTTTTTTTTTTTTTTTTTTTTTTTTTTTTTGTTACCTGTAAAGCTGACAGCTCGGCGATTGGGTATCCTGATAAATGGCGGCGGCATCGGGGCTAGCTGCCTCTTGGTACCATTGCGAGTGTCCCGCGGTGTTGGTATGGTTTCTCGAATTGTACTCCGCGTGATCCATTATGTAACCGGCCGTGGGCGTGCAATAAGGCGCGTACATGGTTCCGGGCGGCGAACCGTTGCTCCTGGACACGGTGCTGCTGTGACCGTATCCGGTGGTCGCCATCATTGCCGCGACGGCGGCCGTCGTCGTGGTCGTGGTTGTGCAAACAGAGGGCAAGTGGTCCCTGGAAACAACCCCGGCGCCCATCGACTCTCTGCTCGTCATGATCGAGTGCGAGTGAGGGTGAGGATGCTGAAGACCGTGGGGATGATGCGTGTGATGCTGATTATCTCTGGTCATCAAGGCTGCGCTGTTCTCTCGCGTCGTCATTAGAGCGTCCACGCTAAAACTAGTGGGATCTAGTCCCATCGATACGTCCTGAATGCCGTCCTGATGTACCTGATGGGTTTGATGCACTTGATGACCGAGAGCGGTTTGGATGACGCTCTGGCCAGCCACGGCGACGGCTGACGTCGTCGTTACCGCCGTCTTCGTGTCTTGGATCGGGCTGTGGAGGCCGTATTTCGCTTGCACGGCCATGCAATGACTGCCAGCGTCGTTCACCGGTTCCCTCTTCGGTTTGCACAATGTCGTATCAAGGGTGCCCAATTTCTTGGTCGCCGCGTCCGACGGTGGCGGTATGACTATGTTACTCGGTTTCGTTTCCTCTTGGTTACGCTGCTTCTCGGGCACCAAGCCCTGCCTCTTCAGTGCCTCCTCTTTCTCTTTCAGCGCGTCCTTCTTCTTGAAGCGCCGACGACGCCTGAGATAGGAACCGTTGTCGAACATGTTGTAGCTGTCCGGGTCCAGCGACCAGTAGCTTCCTTTCCCGGGCTTCTTGTCGTCCCTTGGCACCTTGACGAAACACTCGTTGAGGCTGAGATTGTGCCTGATCGAGTTCTGCCAGCCCTGCTTGTTCTCGCGGTAATAAGGAAAGCGCTCCATGATAAACTGATAGATACCGTTCAGCGTGATCTTCTTGTCGGGTGCATTCTGAATTGCCATCGCGATCAAGGCTATGTAGGAGTACGGGGGTTTCACCATATCCTTGCCAGGATGGTGAATGTGCTGCTGGGTTATACCTGAGACTGGGTAACCAGCGGCCGTCGCATAACCGCCGTATCGGTACTGCTCGTAGTATCCCGGCGCGGCACCCACACCGGGGTACGATGGAGTCCCCATACCAACGGGAACCGCCGTTGCGTGCCTGTAATATGCATTCTGCTCGCTGAACAGCGTATGCATCTTTACCAACGCACTTGAACCCGAGTCTTCCCTTGGTTCAGACACCCGACGATGGTTTTCAAGAATCGGCACACGGTCCTTGTTGCGACACGCGAATCTGTAGAATGTATTTAGAATGTACTTAAAATGGCTTTAATACAACCATCGACATTTTTTTTTTTTTTTTTAATGTTCTGTACGAAGACGGCAGTGAACTTTAATTCTCGTGTACAAGATTCACTCACTGATTTCGATCAGTCACTTTCAAGTTTTATTTACACTTGGTCACTAAACGAAGACGGTAGTGACGACGATCACTGACGAAGATTAGCGGATGATGTTGATACCGGACGACAGTCACTCGTTCAAACTCTTGTACGCGGCATGTTTGGGCCAGTCGGGTTCGATACGGTCGGTCGGTGGATTATCAATTCCGTCGGCGGTAGACGGAGACGGCGGCGTTCGTTTACTCGTTAACCCGTTTAAATGGTGTTTTGTTGACGCTTCGAAATATCTCTGTAGTCTGTGGAAGTTGGTCCTCGTCGATCGAGGAAGAGACAGGCGGCGCGGCGTGGTGCGAGACAAGGGTGCATCCAGTGGTCGATGCGAGGCTAACCCGTAAACCCGCGTGCACGCGTATTATGATACACAACAGGCCGGAGTTTACTCAACCCCGAGTAAAAACACACTGGGGCCTCGGCCTCGCCAGCGAGGTAGAAGTGTTCGGCGTCGAGCAGCACGGCTGCGCGACTCCGTGCGTGCCGTTTCACTTCGAAAAATCACCAGAAACCCCCGTCGCAGCCGACCGCCTATTATTCAACGAGCCACATGATTGGACGGCCGCCAATCGTTCGGCTCCACCTACGTGCGTCGGCCAATCAGAGGGATGGTATTAAAGGGAAAACCGTGGACGCCTCTGCGGCTACGTTGCCAAGGATCGGGCCACGCTCCCTAACTCAGTCACGCCCTCGTGACTCGCGCAGGGCCGACGCAACAAAAGCGAAACAATGAGCATCGCCCTGTGCGTGGTGTGAGAGCGCACGCGAAATTTTTCCGCGCACGAGACTTCGCCGCCCGTCGGATACTTTTCACACACCGTTACACATCCGTCAAATCCGACGGATTTCACGGGATCCTGGAGGGCTGAGCCACTGGTTGTTGGGATCACTGAGTTTCTTGTCTCCCGGAGAGAGGATTTGAGAACCTTGGTTACGGTTCGACACGGATAACACAGTTGACGAATGGCCGCGGGATCACGAAATAGTTAGAAGTGACACGACCACGTGGTGTTTTCATGCCGATCGATTTACGCTCCTCTCACTTTGCCGCGTCTGACAGTGTTTGTATTTTCGCTGCACTCGGGGCAATGAGTGACAAATTTTTCTCGCTAGTCGGAGTTTTGCAACTACATGTATAGTGGGGCTAAGATATGATCAGGTAGGGTACGAGACAGATAAGATCGTTAGGGAACGAGGACTTGTGGCATCTATTGCAATTGTTTAATCAGACAACTTAATTTCAGAAATTCGCCTGTCTCTTGGAGTTACTCTCAGCCGTCAAATTATTTAGTCTACAGTACGTCTGTGTATTTTTCAATTAATTCCCCATAACTCAACGTGCTTACCTACTTAACCTCTTGCGCTGGTAACTGGTTCACGGACCATAACGAGTGACCAAACCGTATACAATAACTCGTCTTCTTTTTTGAATTCATCGGTACATCACTGAATAGAAATTGCTAAGAAGTAACAAATTTATTATTTATTTTGCCTGGGTTGTATTTCAATATACTAAAAACTGAGAAAATATTGCAATTTTGGGCCAAATATTCTCGACGTGCGTGGCACGTCATTCCAGCGCAAGAGGTTAACCCTCACACACGCGATTACGGACCATAACGAGTGACCGAACCGTATACAATAACTTCTTTTTTGAATTCATCCGTATATCACTGAATAGAAATTACCAACAAGTAATCAATTTATTATTTGTTTCGTCTGGGTTATACTTAAATATACATAAAACGGAGGGAATATTGCAATTTTGGGCCAAATATTCTCGACGTGCGTGGCACGTCATCCCAGCTCAAGAGGTTAACCTTCACACACGCGATTACGGACCATAACGAGTGACCAAACCGTATACAGTAACTCGTCTTCTTTTTCGAATTCATCGATATATCACTGGATAGAAATTACCAAGAAGTAATCAATTTATTATTTGTTTCGTCTGGGTTATACTTAAATATACATAAAACGGAGGGAATATTGCAATTTTGGGCCAAATATTCTCGACGTGCGTGGCACGTCATTCCAGCGCAAGAGGTTAACCCTCACACACGCGAAAATTAACCACGGAAGCAACTGATTGCGGACCATAACGAGTGACCGAACCGTATGCAATTAATTTGTCGCTTTCTCTTTGAGCTCGTCGGTATGACATGACTGGATAGAAATTATTGAGAAGTAATAAATTCATTGTTTGTTTTGCCTGGGTTATACTTAAATATACTCAAAACTGAGGAAATATTGCAATTTTGGTTCAAATAGTCTCGTCGTGCGTGGCACGTCTTTCCAGCGTAAGAGATTAACTTCATTATCATCTACAAACAATTTTCTATCTGGTATCTGGAAATAATCAAGAAAGTACGCGTTTTTACTTGGAATTACAAACTAGAGAGATAATTTTCTTGGTTGCAGTACCTATTGTCTAAAATAAAAATTTCGTGTCTTTTATGGAAGTTCATCTTCGAAGGACGCGACGGCGGTTCTTGCGCGAGAAATACAGATAGATGTGTAATCCGTGGACGGAGAAACTCTAGAAACCCCGAAGGAAAAGGCTCTCGAGTGGTAGAGTTATATAGATAAGGGAGAGACATCACGTTCTTATAGACGAGGGATTCAATTTGGCGTCTGTTTTTCCAAGGGTTCGACTCCAGTCTTGCGAAAACACTCGAGAGGACACCTCGGCTTCCATCTTAGCGTTTCCACTGGGTTCCTCACGAATCTCCTCCCCCGAACTTCTATCCAGGTTCTCAAAATATCTTCGATCGTCGCGATGTTCTACTTTTTCGTTTCCAGTTCCGCGAATCGTGTATCACCGCGAGTCGTGCGTGCCACCGGCGATAATATTCGAAACCAATCGATAGATCGAACACTCCTTTCCTTGTGCACACGCATCAACGGTTTCTAATTTATTTCAAGTCACAATCTTTTGTTAGATGTTCTTGTACCTACATAAATAGTTAATTGATTATTACGTAGATATTGTTATGCAAGTTGAGTCATATAACTTGCTCGCCAGAAATAACTTTACATTTTACAAAAAAAAAAAATATTTCGTTAAAAAATTGCACAGTATCTAAGGCGAAATATCATTTATCGGAATGTAGAAATTGACGAGCATTTATTACAACTTTCCTGGTATATAGTGAAACTACGAACAAATCATTTTTTAAATATCTCGCTAATTATTAAATTTGGGACAAATTGATTGATACTTTCTTATAAAAAAATTTATTTCTGTTTCTGACACAAAAAAATATGTACTCCGTTCAAAGAATTGCCAACTTGATATTTTGCAAATAAATCTTTTTTTTTTAAATCATTTAAATACCGTGCAATTTTCTAATCATTTTTTTTTTTTGTCAAATAACCGAAAGTAAATCGAAGATATTTGGGACGGACAACTTATGTGATTCTTCCTGTGCAATAAAATTTTACAACATCGCTGAAAATTTTCGTAAAGAAACTTAGATAAAAATAATCATGATATTGTAATTAAAAATAATTATTAAAAATAATTATTTATAATATAAATAAATTTAAAAATAATAATTAAAATAATTATTATTCTTGAAAAACAATTTGTAGATGGCGATCTATTGGTTGGGGATTCAGAGTTTTAAAATTTCCTTCGTCACTCTTCTCTTACATAATGTGATGTTTTTAAATGCATTAAATATTTAAAAAATTACCATCTTCATGTCTGAAAAATATCTTTCTAATCTCATTCAAATTTTAATTGACAAAGTCTTATCTTACGTGTCCTTGCGTTGAAGCATGCTTCTTACTTTCGTACATTTGTTTGACTAATTTGATTTTTAATGCGAAACGAGTATTTTACGATGCTTTATGATGCTTTATGATCGTCCGTTCTTCGTAAATCGCGAAGAACGGACGATCATGACAACCTTCAGAACGTCTACAGATAATTGCAAAGTTCGTAATTTGCAAACGCCTTGGTGACAACCGAAAGGAAGGTTATCTTAAGAAAACATTTTATACAATAATTTATCGAGTTCCTGATAAAAATTGTCTGGCGTCGGTTTCCGTAATTTCGTGGGTGACGTGCGAGACGAGCGTGTGTCACAATTGTAAGAGAAAACACCGTAACTAATTTTAAACTCATCGTCCTTCATCGAAACGATATGCGAAATGTCTGTGCTCTTTCTTACACGTTTGACAAGTAAATTGCAAAGTCATTCGCATCATTATTTCCACGCGATTTGGAAGTTTGATTAAATGTTTCGACAGCAAATCTATATATACGTAATAACCTACTTTAGGTATTTTATATGTATCATTCTATATACTTCTTGTACTTCAAGATCTCCCACAATATGAATGCATAAAAATCCGCTACTAGTCTAGTAATTATTTCCAAGTTCCCTAAGCTAATAATCTATTTAAACACATCTGGAATGGAGTAAAGATTTTATTTTTTTACTCACTTGTTACTTTTGCAAGTAACCAAACATTATCTATTAGATACGTAGATACTTGTCACGTTCATTGAATCTTTATCTCAAGATGACTTTATCGAGCCTCGATATCTTCCTTCATTTCTTCACGCGCGTACGTACGCGCGTGGTTTCAGCTAAAAGGCAAAAATCGATGACACGGCCTGCTACGTCTAATTTTCATTTAAATGAAACGACGTTCACTGTAGGTGTTTCGATTCGGTCTCTTCCACTCCCGTAACCGTCCCCGGGGCTACACAGGGAACGCTTTCGAACTTTCGGCCAAAGTTTAATTGTCTTTTGCTTGCGTTCTATCTAAATTCGTCGCTCGCCGCGGCCGTAGTTTCTCCAACGGTTAATCCATCTGATAAGATCGTCAGGTATCGCCATTTTTCCTAGCGTTCTCTAAAAGAACGATCTGACGCGTGATATTTTACGTTTTA